GTAGAGACGGGGTCTCGCTCTTGCTCAGGCTGGTCTCGCACTCCTGAGCTCAGAACGATCCGCCCGCCTCGGCCTCCCAGAGTGCTAGGATTACAGGCGTGAGCCACCGCGCCTGGCTCATTGAGCCTTTTGATCTGACTTCCAGTTTATAGGAAAGTCAGAGGTTATGGGAAAAAACTCCGTGACATCACGAGGCAGCAGCCAGACAGAGCCAGAAGGGAACAGTCTACTGCACGGTGGCTGGTTTTGCCAACAGACACGGACTTGGAAGAGGACGCTGGGGGTGACTCAGATTAGAAGAGTCATAAGATTGTCACCGTCCCATGCGAACGTGGACGGCAACTGGATCCTGGACCCAACAAGCGAGCTGTCCTCTTTGGGGGGACACCGGGGAGATTTTAGATCAGACTAGGCAACACCCGACGCTAAGGATGGCTATTGAGTTCTTAGGTGTCCTAATTGAACCATGATTACGTAGAAAATGTCCTTATTTTTCAGATATTTGTAGTAAAATATTTAGGAGTGATATTTTATAAGGTCTGTAATTTACTTTCAAACACTTCAGCACCAAAAATAAAACATGAAAGCAAATATGGACGAATATGAACAATTGTCAAACCCAGGTCATAGCAATATGGGTTTTTAAAAATTATTCTCTCTACCATTTAGTTACGTTTTTATTTTGAATGTTTTAAAATTAACATGGTAAACAAACATGATATTTGTTTTATGTTATTTTTGTCATCAGTTGGGTAGCCTTTGGAGCTTTTTTTCTTTTTTCCCTTAAATCCCAAAGCACAGTCCCCACCCTGGGGAGGGACAGCTTCTCTGGGTGCCTTGTGAGGTCTCTGGACGAATGGGCAGGGTCTACTCTGTCCAGGGGACAGGGTTCTGGGTGTAGGAAATGGCCGTGGCCATAATCCTGGGGGGCCTGTACTCTCTCCCCCCACTCATGCCATGGCCGCTCCCAGGGACAGGGACAAAGAAGATACCTGAGGCAGAGCGGCCCAGCTGGTCGCCTCACCAGGCTCAGAAGAACCATCAGCTGCTCCCGGCCCAGGCAGCACTGGGTCAGTCTGGGGACAGAGGTCAGTCACTGGGGTGGCTCTGGCAGGGTGCCCCCACCCCTCAACTGTCCCCATGGGCTGGACTGGTCACTCACGTGAGCTCCGTCAGCTGCAGGGACTGGCTCAGGCCGGTGGCCAGTCTGGGCACGTGCTCTGGCCCGAAGCTGCACTCGCTCAGCCTGAGGGCGGAAGGGCCAGGCAGAGCCGGGGTGAGGCCTGTGGGGGCCGCGTCCTGCTTCCTCCCGGCCTCCCCGAGGGCCTCCTAGGGGAGCCCCCTGAGGGCAAAGGCCTGGGGCAGGGCCTGAGAAAGGGACAAGATGTAGCTCCTGCCTTGGGAGCGTCCTGTCTCTTTGGGCAGAGCCCGGCCCCCGAGAAAGTGTTAGGAGCAAGTGGCTCATGGAGCCCCGACTCCACGCCAGGCACCGTGCCCGCCTCCGGGAGCGCAGGGGTGCTGCCTGGCCCGCAGTGCCTCACCCGGCTCTCAGCATCACTGCAGTGGGGGGACCGACCACACCCGGGACACAAAGCTGGCGGGAAGGGCGGGCTGAACCGGGTTTCAATCCGGGTCTGACTACGGACTCCAAGCCCTTAACCACTGCCAGCATCCTGGCGACAGCCCTGCCCTCCACGTGCCCCCGGAATCGTAGAGGATTTGGAGAAAGCTATCTCAGAGAAGGCGAGGAAGACAGGGTCAGACCCAGTGCCGGTGTGAGCCGAGGCGGGGACGCTCCCTCGGGCAGAGCACGTTCAGTCACGCGTAGCACAGTCCCCTTGCGGCTGAAGCCTGTGTGTGTGTGTGTGTGTGTTGTGTGTCCATGGCACGTGTGTGGTATGTGTGGGGAGTGTGCTCTGTGCACATGGTATGTGTACAGGGGATGTGTGCTGTGTATGTAGTATATGTGTGTGTGCTGTGGTGTGTAGGGTGCACATATGTGTTGTGTGGTGCATATGTGGTGTGTGTTATGTGGGCTGTGTATGGTAGGTGGTGTGTGGGGTGTGTGTGTGTGTGTTGTGTGTCCGTGGCATGTATGTGGCATGTGCAGGGAGTGTACTATGTGCATGTGGTATGTGTACAAGGGATGTGTGTGCTGTGTATGTAGTGTGTGTGTGTGCTGTGGTGTGTAGGGTGCACATATGTGTTGTGTGGTGTGTATGTGGTGTGTGTTATGTGGGCTATGTATGGCAGGTGGTGTGTGTGTGTTGTGTGTATGTGTTGTATGTCCGTGGCATGTGCGGGGAGTGTACTATGTGCACGTGGTATGTGTACAAGGGATGTGTGTGCTGTGTATGTAGTATGTGTGTGTGCTGTGGTGTGTAGGGTGCACATATGTGTTGTGTGGTGTGTATATGTTGTGTGTTATGTGGGCTGTGTATGGTAGGTGGTGTGTGTGGGGTGTGTGTGTGTGTTGTATGTATGTGTTGTGTGTCCGTGGCATGTATGTGGCATGTGCGGGGAGTGTACTATGTGCACGTGGTATGTGTACAAGGGATGTGTGTGCTGTGAATGTAGTATGTGTGTGTGCTGTGGTGTGTAGGGTGCACATATGTGTTGTGTGGTGCGTATGTGGGTTGTGTATGGTAGGTGGTGTGTGGGGGGTGTCTGTGTGTGTGTTGAGTGTGGGCATGGCGTACATGCGGATCGTTTATGCGCACACGTGTACACGGTGTGAAGTGCCGGGTGTGCGCCGGGCGTGCGGCGAGGCGGGTGGGAGGGGACAGCCGGCAGGCTGCGGGAGAAGACCAGGGTAAGGAGGGTAAGGAGTTTGAACTTCATCCCGGGGGCGGCGGGGGCCCCTGAAGCTTGAAGCAGGCTCTGAAGGAGGAGAGCGCCCAGGAAGGAGGGGGCGTGGAGGCCACCTGAGAGGCTGAGAGGCTGCAAGACCGCAGGGCCAGCCTCCTCTCCCGCCTTCTCTGCCCTGTCCCTGCCACGTCCCCAGGGATTACCTAAGCGTCTTCCCAGCCTCCTCCTGCTTGGAGAAGCGAATCCGGAAGCTCTGCTCGGAGCCCAGGCTGCAGAGAGGGGAGGGCGGGGAAGCGTGACGTCCAGGCGCACCAGCGTCCTGGGCACCAGGGCGCCTGGGGACGCTGAAAGAGACAGCGCTGCACCCACAGGGACAAGGGAGGGCGGAAGCCATAGAAGGAAAGGCCCTAGCTGACCAGTGGAGACCCCCAACTCATCCTGGGAGGATGGTGACACCTGGCCTGCCCCACCCCCACCGTCTCAGGTCCCCGTGGCGCCTGGGCATCAGGGGATGGGCATTGTGAGCCATGCTCAGGAAACTCAGGCTCAGAGAGAGGCGGAGGTTGCCCCCCGTCATACAGGCGGAGGGTCGCGAGTGTGGGAGTCTAGCTTCCCCCGCCACCAGCCAGCGGCGCCACCATCTTACTTCACCGAGGCCTCCAGGACACGCGAGCAGGCGGGCAGAGTCTCCACCAGGTGCAGGGCACCTTCCCGAGAGATGCCATTGTGACTCAGACTAGAAGGGAAATGAGGCTTGGGATGGGGGTGGGGACAGGACCTCCACGGAGCCCTGCCCAGCTCCCCAGCCCCCCAGCCCCTCCGGCCGTCATTTCTGGGGAAGAGAGGCCTCAGTGTCTAAGCGTCCATTCTCCAGATGGAGATGCTGAGGCCCAGGAAGCGGCCCGGAGGGGACACCACACAGGCAGAACCGGCCCCAGCCCGAGTCCTCTGAGCCGCACTCCCTGCGCCGCCGCCCTTGTGGTCCAGCCCCATGTGGGTCCCGGACTCCCAGGGCATGAAGGTCAGTTGCCTAGCAACGGGTTGCATCCTGCCTCTGGCTGTCAGTCTCCCAGGTCACTGGGGAGATCGGGCAAGCATGTGGATAACTTCCTAAGGACTCTCCCCCCGCTGCGGAGACACCTCCAAATTCATGTCCCATCGATTGGGTCAGAGGAACGCCAGGGACAGGATGGACCAGGAGCCGGGGTGGCTGCAGTCCCACATCAGCTGGTTAGGGATGTCACTTCCCTGCCCTGGGGTCAGCTTGGCTGACGGGGTAGGTTGAGTGGCAGGTTCATGAGTCATAGTCTCTCTTGGGTGTCTGGTGGGGGGTCCGCCCATGGTGGGCATGCGGGATGGAAGGCAGAACCCAAGGGGTGGGTCAAGGTAAGAATTGCCCCTTTTCCTCCTCAGCCCTTGTCCTCTGGGGGTCCTTAGGGATGTCCCCAGAAGAAGCCCATTCATGCTTTCATGCTCTGGGCCCAGGGGAGTCTTGCTCCTTGCCCCCACTCACTCAAGTGAGCCGGAGATGGGCACGCGCGGCAGGCATCCCAGAAGGCACCTGAGCCCGTCATCGCCCAGCAGGTTTGCTGAGAGGCTGCAAGACATAAGAAGTGGTTGTTGGTGGTCGGACGTGCCCCCTCCCCCTGTGTCTGCTCCCCACAGCTACCGTCTACCACCACTGTCGCCGTACGTCCCCCCGCGACCCCCACCACCACCTTCACTGTCACCACGACACAACGCCACCATCGGTACCACCGTCACCACCGTTTCTGTCACCACCAGAATTACCACCAACTCCTGTATCCCTGCCACCACCCCCCTCACCAGCACCACGGTAAACCGGTCCTGAGCGTCCCCTCCCATGCTGGCGACTGCTCCCAGGGCCCGTGTGCCTCCCGCAGGCTTTCGGGGGTGAGAGAAAAACCAATTAGCTTTTACCACGCCCCGGGCCTGCATCCGTTGGGAGCCACAATTTTTTGCAAGAGGAAATTCAGGAAAAAGAAAAATGGGGGGATGCATTGGAATGTGCATTGACCCCATAGAGTTCTTCTTTCAATTTGGGAAGGCGATATTGGAAACCACCCCTAAATACCCTCTTACTTCGCTTCCTGTAGCGTTCATTGAGCTAGTTTCAGAAACAATATAACCAGTGTGCCCAGGGATATCTGGTTTTCCTCCCATGTCTTTGACACATTTGATGCTTATTTTGTCTTTTGCTGAGAAACTTCATTTAAACATTGCTTTGCCTCATGAAGCCACTTAATAAAATAATCTTTAAAATAAGAAAAATCTCCCTCTGCAAAGAAAAACAGAAAAACTCAAAGACATATTCCTTATTCATCTTTCTTTAAAATATATGATTTTCAGGCTGGGCCTGGGGGCTGATGTCTGTAATCCCAGCACTTTGGGAGGCTGAGATGGGAGGATTAGTTGAGGCCAGGGGTTCAAGACCAGCCTGGGCAACTTGGTGAGACTCCATCTCTACAAAAGATTAAAAAATTAGCCTGGCATGGTGGTGTACACCTGTAGTCCCAGCTACTCAGGAGGCTGAGGTGGGAGGATTGCTTGAGGCCCGGAGTTCGAGGTTACAATGAGCTATGATTGCTCCACTGCACTCCAGCCTGGGTGACAGAGTGAAACCCTCTATTAAAAAAATAAAAATAAAAAACTACTTGATTTTCGTCAGCCACATTTATCTTCTTGGCCACATCACCACAGAAATTTAAATTGTTTGGGATTTTTAGTAGATGAGCTCTTTTTATTTCCCACTGGTCCAGGTCTGGACTCTTTTTTTTTTTTTTTTTTGAGACAGAGTCTCACTCTTTTGCCCGGGCTAGAGTGAGTGCCGTGGTGTCAGTCTAGCTCACAGCACCCTCGAACTCCTGGGCTCAAGCAATCCTCCTGCCTCAGCCTCCCGAGTAGCTGGGACTACAGGCATGCGCCACCATGCCTGGCTAATTTTTTCTATGTATTTTTAGTTGTCCGATTAATTTCTTTCTATTTTTAGTAGAGACGGGGTCTCGCTCTTGCTCAGGCTGGTTTCGAACTCCTGAGCTCAAACAATCCGCCCGCCTCGGCCTCCCAGAGAGCTAGGATTACAGGTGTGAGCCACCGCCCCGGCCTCAGGTCTGGACTCTTAAGGACAGTGAGCACAGACTCGCATTGCACTAGCTGTGTGGCCTTGGGCAAGCTCTCCAACTCTCTGTGCCTCAGTTCCTCCGTCTGTAAAATGTGAACAGTAACAGTACCTGGGGTTACTGGAAGGACAAAAAGAGCACGTAAAGTACTTAGAATAGTTGGAGCAGGGCTCAGTGGGGGTTAGCTATAATTATTTTCCCACCCATGTCGGGGTGCACCACTTGGGTACACAAACACCACATCTCAACAACACGAGAGTCTGCAAGACCCCACCCAGGCTGGCTCTGGGTCCCTTCTCAGGCTGAGTCCTTTGGTACTTTAACCACCTGCCGGGCCAGCAGCAGAACTTTCCTTTCAGCCCCCATCTGCCGGCAGAGCCTGCACGCACGTGAGTCTCTGAGGGGCTGTCCAAGTTAGGGGGACACCATGGCACTGGCCCCACCGCAGCAGGAGCGGGGGCGGGAGAGAGGGAATGCGTACACGGGAGCCCTGGGGATGTGACCCAAAGTCCCAGGTATCCCCTGACGGCTGGTCCTGAGAGGTGTAGGTGGGCACACGGGAATGAGGGCGCACACACGGTCGCTCATGCCCCCCTCCAGAGCCACCCAGGTGTGCGTCCCACGTCTCCTCCTCCTCCCCACTCACTCCAGCTGGCCGAGGTCTTCCCACTTGCTCAGCAGCGAGCACAGTGGCTCCACATGCTCCTGGCGGAGGCCGCAGCCCGTAAACCTGCAGGGCGGAGGTAGGAGATGGGGCGTCTGGCCGCTCAGACCAGCCGTCCCCCGGCGAGTCTGGGCACAGCCTCGGAGCCCCAGGCGGGACTCCACCCAAGCTCCGACCCTCTGGAAGTATCGGGCACCCACTGCTCCCACCCCCATGGCAGGCGCTGCGCCTCCGTCTCTTCCCCGTAGGTGAAGCAAGTGTCCCCACAGGGGCCTTCCAGGGGCTGTTTGTGGGAGGCAGTCTGTGCTCTGCTCTGGCCACCCGGGAGGCAGGTCCACGGGTCCCCAACATCCACTGGCTGCCTGGGCGTGGTTTTAGAGGACTTACCCACAGCACACGCCTTCCCGCTCGTGGCTGGGTCTGAAATGCAGGGCTGCATGATGCAGGGACCTAGAGCAGATGGCACCGGGGTCAGCAGCCCTTGGCCGTAGCCTCAGGATGCCCCCCCGGGGCTGGCACTCCTCCCCCCAAAGCCCAGCCTGTGACTTGGGTCCCACTGCTTCCATCCTACCCCCTCATACCCGCTAGACTCTGCGCACAACTCTCCAAGACCAGTCCTGGCCGTCCCAGAGTAACGCACCTGAGATCCACCTTCTGAACCCTCGGGCACGGGCCGAGGATGTCGGCCAGCAGGAAAGGGCTTTTGGCGGGCAGCCCCGTCTGGCTCAGCCTGAGAAGGGAAGGGGTGGGGCCGAGCAAAATCAGCGGACGAGGACCCTGGACAGACTGAAGGGTAAGGAGAGGGAGGACGGGGAAGGCTGGCAGCTCAGCAGGGCGCTAAGAAAGCAGGCAGGGGGCTCGGAGGGGGGATGAATAGGGGCTTGGGCTCAAGCAGGCTTGAGTTTGAGTCCCAGCGCTGCTTACTCGCTATGTGACCTTGGACAGGTCACTTAACTTCTCTGAGCCTCAGTTTCCTTATCTGGGAAACAGCACCCGTCATGCTGTTGCTCTTGGTGTGTTCGAGGATTTGGTTACAACGAGCGGTGCACTGCCCGGCGTGACGCCCCCTGCTTGCTGGGACCATCACGCTGCTCTTCCCTGCAAGCAGATTTAACTGCCGAGTCCTTGCTGACAGAGGGTGGGAAGCTTCAGGCCCTTCGGACAGAACTGTCTAACCTCAGCACTACTGGGATTTGGGGCCCGATGATTCTTTGTCGTGGGGGGCTGTGCTGTGCCCTATGGGATGTTTAGCAGCATCCTAGATCTCTACTCACTAGATGCGAGTAGGAGCGCCCCCACCCGCAGTGAAGGCAACCAAAAACATCTCCAGCCAGGCTCGTCTGGTCAGCTCTGCTCGCGGGGTCCACCTACTGCCCCTCCCCACCAACGATCAGCTCCTTCACCTCTCGCCCTGGCTGTCTCGCCCTGGCTGTGCACGGCTCCTCCCTGCTCTCATTTCTACTCCTGTCCCCAACCCCTTCTCTACCCAGCACTCAGACCAAGCTTTTGAAAACGCAAATCATTCCTCTGCCTCTCGAGTTGCCTCGGACAAAAATCCAAACTCCTCACCATGGCTGCCAGGCCATGCATGACCTGACCCTGGGCCACCTCTCCCCACTTCCTCTCCTGCCAGCCGCTGTGCTCCGGCCGCACTGGCCTCCTCCAGGCTGTTCCTGGAGCCCACCAAGCTCAATCATGCCTCAGGGCCTCACGCATGCTGTTCCCTCTGCCTGGAATGCAGTTCCCTGCTCTGCACAGGACTGGCTCTCTCTCCTCCTTCAGGTCACACCTCAGTGCCCCTCCTCGGAGACATTCCCTGACCACTTGCGCTGTCATCTAAATCACCTCTCCAGCCACTTCACATCCCCTGGAAAAAGTGATTTTACTTAGCTTATTGCTCAGTGCCTACTACTGCAAGGTGAGCGCCAAGAAGACGAAGCTCTAGTTGCTTTCTCCTCTGCTGTGCCCTCCGGCACCCACACTGCCTGGCCCACAGCAGGTGCACAGCACTACTGGTTGAGCGATACAAAGTTTAAGCCCTGGCAAGGGTCAGGCCAGCCACCCCACTCCAACGCCAGATGAGGAGTTGAGGGTGATGCTGTGTGACTTAGGCATAGAGAAGTCCATCTCTGGTCTGAGGTTTCCCACCTGTTCATTTTAACCTGCCACCATTACGTCCAAAGGAGCCCTTCCTGAGCCATTCTCTCCAGGCAAGGGGGGGCCATAGAGGGTCCTGTGAGCAGGACAGCCCTTGCCCCTCTGCAATGTGGTCACACGTCTCCTCCCTCCCTCCCCGACAGAGCTGGAGGAGCAGCGGGATTCTGAGATTCTGGAGGTGATGTGAGCCACCTCAGGCATCCCAGAGAGGCCCAGCGCCTCGGCCTTAGCACGTGCATCACTGTTATTCACATTATATTGTCATTTAATTTCCTGTCATAGTTTTTCATCTCAGCGGCGGCTGCTTTTCCCCACTGCTAAAAGAATATTCAAAGTAAATCCTTTTTACATTCTAACCAGTCTGAGCTGAAATCAGAAAATAGAGTTTTTAAATACTTTGGGGGAAGCTGTTTCAATTCCCCTTCTGCAGAGTGAGATGGTGACCTTTGAAAAGCAGTGAGTGACAGCTGTACAGGTCCTTTCTAGGGGTGGGTGACCTTTCTGTGGACGGGGAGAAGTATGGTATTCCACTTGTCACAGGCCTTCCAATCTTTAAGGTGCTTTTAGAGGACCTTGTGTGAGCCCCAACTTTGGGGAGGGGTTGGGGAATATTAACCCATTTTGCAGATAAAGAAACTGAGACCCAAGGCGGGGAAATAACTTCACCCCCTCCCCAGGTTGACAAAGTATTAGGGTAGAGCTGGCAGCAGATTTGAGTCCCCAGTTGTGCCAGATAAAATGATAAAAGCGTCCAAGAGAAAGAAGAAGGGGGAAGAGGGGAACAGTTTTGCAGTACAAGAGCGTCAGGGACGCAGGCGCAGGGAATGGGGGGTCTTACTGCAGCAGGCTCAGGTGAGGGAGTCGGGGCAGGCAGTGCAGCAGGGTCTCCAGGCTCTGGTCACTCAGGACCGCACAGGACAGTCTGTGAAGCAAAGCATCTGAGTCAGGCAGGGAAACTTCCAGAAAAGCAGGGAGCCTGGCCTCACAGCCAGAGCCTTCTGGACATGGGACCTACCTAGTGTTGCCCAAGACATTCCCTCCCAACCCTGGATCCTTGAGTTATCCCTGGAGCTAGAAGAAGAGGACGATCTTGCAGGTTTGTAAAATACTGGGTTAAACCAAATTAGTTTTCTTGGCAGCAGGACTTGTCCGAGCCTTTAATATGCTACTGTGCATTATGACTTTCCAAGGGGCTATGGCAGACTTTTTCCCAAACCAAATGGACTAGTAGGGTCGTTATTTGAGGGCCATGAAGGTTAGTGTTCTGCGGAACACGTTCGTTGAGAAGAGAATGCTGCCTTAAGCCGAAGTAGTGAATACGGTACTAGAAATTCAGCATCAACAGGGCAGCGAAGGACGGATGCGGGCTGGCTCTGGTCTCTGATTCCCATCAAATTCGGACCGACCAGCTCAGCACTTGTCCAGATAATTTATCGGAACCCAACGCACTTAGGAGAAGCTCCAGATAGTCACCCTCAGTCTTTGCTCTGGCTGGAGGACCGGGACAGCTAGAGTCTCTGTGTGCCCTGGGATCACATACGGCCCTTCCCCTCGTGCCCTGGAGCTGCTCCCCGACCCCCAGGGGCCTGTAGACCCCCAGAGGCCTGTGGACTGTATTCTCCCTCTGCCAGTTCCTTTGCCCCCTGCAGGCTGCGCTCTCCCCTCGCTGGGGCCTCCAGGGGCCCGCCCACCTCCCCCGCTTATCTCTAGGTGGTGGGGTGGTCCGGGGAAACCTGGGTGGGGGATTGGGTAGGGGGAACAGCCTGTGATTTTGCATCCGGAAGGCTACTGTGGAACCTCTGCAGGGCCCAGGTTGCACATTTTCTGTCCCAGGGATGGCATGGGGTCCTTAGTAGCTGGGATCACAGGTGCATGTCACCAAGTCTGGCTACAAGATTGTGACAAATGTACCATGGTAATGTAAGATGTTAATAACAAGGGAAACTGGGCGAGCGAACTCTCTAAACTCTCTTTGCAATTTTTCCAAAAATCAAGTCTAAAACCATGCTAAAATCGCTTATTAACAAATGGATTGGATCCACATGTCTTGACACTCAGGGAAAGCCATGCTGTGCAGTTATGAGACAAAAGCTAATTGCAGGACCTTACATGGGAAGATCCCATGTCTGTCAAACAATGTCAAAGTCCAGGGAGTTAAAGCCATTTGCCCAAAGTCACCCAGACTGCAGGTGGCCGATCCCAAGTCCAGTCTCTGGTCCCAGACCCAGCTGTTCTGGGGTGGGTAAGGTGGCAATCCTGGGGGCAGAGGAGGTGCCCTGAGGATAAGCTCCAGCCATGAGGCAGGCCTGAGTGAGTGCCCGGGTGGGGCTCAGGACGTGCCCTGAGCTGAATGGACGGGGCAGGTGACAGCTTCCCCGGGCCCAGCACAGCACCTGCCGGCGGGAGGGGTGAGAGGCCTGAGGCTGGGGGCTGCTGGGAGACAGCCCACCTTTTACCAAGAGGTCAGGGCACTCCCCGGGAGCTGGGCTAGGGGGCCCTGCTGGGAAGGGACTCGAAAGACTCACCTGACCACTAACCAGGAAGCCCCGCCTGGGTCACTAGACAGACGCCCACATTGTACGCTCTGGGGCGGTGTCTTTGTTACTTACTGGACTTCGAGTGGCCCCGGGCTCTCCTCCAGAGTCGCACAGAGGCGGGTGAGGCTCGGGGGCTCCAGCTGACACTCCCTGAGGCTGAAAAGGGGCAGCGGGCAGGGCAGGCGATCAGAGAGGACCAGGGCCCCTGTCCCGCCCCAGGGGCTCTTCCCTTCTCCCCATAGTCCTCGCCCCAAGCGGCAGGCCACGGGCTCCTTCCCCTGCAGGGCACTCTCTCCTCTCCCAACAAGCCTCCCCAATACCCCCGTCCCCCACACCCTGCCAGTGACAGTATAGGACCCTGAGTGCCCAGCTGCCCTCTCCAAGTCCTTCCTGCCCCCCCTGCTGAGCCCAGGCCGCCATCCTCACTGCCCTGGACCATTTGGCACCCTCCTGGCATCCACTCTCACCTCCCTGCAACCCCTCTCCACCCCGAGAGTGCCTCCTTTGTTAACACTGTGAATCTGACCAGGCCCCTCCACCGCTTAAAACATTCTGTGGCTCCCTATTACCCTGAGGCTAAAAGCACCTGCCTTTCCCACAGCCTCACTCCCGTCTGTGCTCCAGCCACACCGATACGCTTCCTGGGAGCCCAGCTTTCACTCCCCCGGCCCTTTGCACTACTCGCTTTCCTCTCCGGATAACTGTGGGGGCCTCAGCTTAAGTTTCTCTCTCTTAGGTGAGGAAATCACAGGGCCTGAGAGGGGAGAGCCCCGGCGGGGGTCTCACAGCCCCTCAGGGCAGAGCCTGTGGATGCATTTGGGGAGAGGCCGGCCCCCACAGCAGATGGCAACCCCGGGCAGGGAGCGGCTGGGCTGCTCTCTTTGCTTCAGAGAAATGCGGAATCTTCTCTCTAAGGAGAATGTTCTCCCTGAGGGGCCAGCAGCTCCCCACCCGCCATCGGCCCTCATACTCGCCCTCTTTTGTTTCCCCTTTTCTCAAACTCTCTTCCCTCTATCCCAATCCGCAGCTTTAGGCCCCCAGCCTCTGCCCCCTCCCTGACCCCTCACCCGCACTGCGGTTACCCCCAGACAAGAAGTGGGTGAGAAAGTACCAGAAGCTCCTGGGGGCGCAGCGCTGACCGAACCCCGAGAACTCGGCTCCAGCTGGGATCTCCGGCGAAAATCCACCAGCACGTATATCCCTAGGAGTGGGGAAACCGTTTTGGAAAGAAAGTTCAAGTCATCCACACTGGACTCCTAGACTCAGAAGTCAGGAGGGCTGGAAGTCACTAGATCCTAGTCCAGCCCCTCATTGTTCAGATGGGGAAACTGAGGCCCAGGGAAGGGAAGCCAGAGTGAGAAAAGCCGGTGGCTTACACCTGTCCAGGTGTGCAGCCCCTGACCAGGTAGGGGGATGCAGGACAGAGTCCCTCCCCTTTGTGACCACCGACTTGGCATTCATGACTTCTGCCTCCCTGTACCTCAGTTCTTTGGGCTTCAGGAACCTGGACGGTCCCCAGAAACAGAGAGCCTAGCCTGGCACGCAAGACCACCAGGCCTTGGGCCACCCCCCCCCCACCGAACTTCAGACAGCCCACCTGTCTGAAAAGCCCACGCTTTTCCCAGACACCTTAGCCGTGCATTCCCTCTGTCTGCTGCCACCGCTCCCCGGTGACGCCAGGAGGCCCAGCCCCGCTAGGGGGCAGCCGGGAACACCCGCGAAGGGCTAAAACCAGCCGTTGCCTATTTACTGCAAAGATGCGGAACGTTTTTTTTTTTCCAGAGCACCAATGGCTCTTGGCTTCTCAAATGCGATACTCAGAGTATGAAAGGGCAGTGACTCATGTGAAGTCATGAGTCTGCGAAAGTCCCTGAGAAACAGAAACCTGACTGCTTCCCCAGCGGCTCCCATGCAGCGGCCATCTGCCAGCACCTGCTGTGCCCCGCAGCGCCCGGTCACGCCCCCATCCCTACCCCGGGCCTTGCTTTTTTCCAGGCAGGAATTAGGGCGGCGGCTTGTTGCCAGTTTTTGGGGGGCGGTGGTCGCGGAAGAGATCGGATCAGACCTGGGTGGTTTAACCCAGCGCAAAGGGTGGTCAGCACGGGCCTGGGGTGGGGGCACCAGAGCAAATGGGGAGCAGAGCAGGAGGGGAGCCCCCCGGCCCCAGAGCACCCCTCCTCACCTGCCTCTCCTGGCACCTGTCAGGAGGACGCGCTGGCTCTCAAGGCTGGAAGCAGAGGAGGCGGCAGTCTGAGGGAGGGCAGGGGGCCCCCTTCCCAGGCAGCCGCAAGAGAGCAGACGCGCCAGGTCCGGGAGGGCCCGGGTGGTCCGCTTTCTCAGCAAACATAATCATAAGTAGATTAAGCGGCAACTGTATCCATCGAGGCACGTACGAAGCATATCACCCACGTTATCTCATTCCATTCTTGCAATAAAACCATGAGGTGAGGACTTATTCTTATCTCCATTTTACAGATGAGGAAACTGAGGCAGGGAGGCCCAGGGACCTGCTCCAAGCTGCACAGCAGGTAAGTAACCAAGCCTGGTCTGTCTGTAATGGCATCTCCCATTCTTTGGGATCCTCGGGGAAGGAGAAGGGGGGCAGACCTCCCTGAGGCCGTGGGTGCCACGCCCCGAATGGCCTGGGGCCACTTGGCTGGCTGAGACCTTCCCTTCTACGTCCTCCTCAGCTCTGGCGGCCCACAAGTAAGGCAGGTCCCTGTGCACCCAATGGCCACCAGGGAGCTCCCAGTTTTCTTAAAAGTCTCTGCAGACAATCGGAGAGTGAGTAGGGGAGAATGGACTCTCCCATGACGAATGGGAAGACATTTCAGTGTCCTGGGGCCGGACTCGTTCATTCATTCAGCAGACACGCACCACATGCTCACTGGACCCGGCACCACCCAAGGCCCTGAGGATGATACGTCACGAACGTGACAGGTGAGGGGCCCACGTGGGAGCTGTGGGAGGAGGGGTGAGGCAGGGGGAGAGGCGCTCGCTCACCTGATGTCCAGGTGGAAGAGCCACTGCAGCGCAGAGAAGCACCGGGCCAAAGTGAGCGCAGCGTCCAGGGAGAAGCCATTCCCGCTGAGGCTGGAGAACACAGGAGCGACACGAGGGTGTCACCCAGACTCAGCGCACCCGCCTGTGGTCAGAGCACGGGGCAGGGGAGGGCTGTCCCCGATTCCAGACACTGAACCCCAGGTGGTCAGAGAGCGCCCTTTTCTCGTCGTACAAGTGGGGAAACCGAGGCCCACAGAGAGGCAAGGCCTTGCCCAAGGTTGGCGACATGTTGGCGACAGAGCTGAGAACCCAGTGGTTCCCCTGGGCTGTGACGGGTCTGAGGAGAGCTTTCGAGCTAGAGCCGGGCCTCCGTTTCCCCACCTGCTAAAGGAGGAGTGGTGCCCAGTCAACATGAAAACACACGGGGCCTCTGGTTCAGAAAGCAGGGAAAAGGCTGCTCTTTCCTTTCGCGGTCGCCCTGCCAACTGGTTACAGTGTTTTTTATTTGCCGTTTAATGTCCCCCTCCTCTGGCATGGGGACCCTGCTAGGGTGAGCGCAGACTCTCACAGCACCAGGTCGTCCAGGCGTCTGCATCATTGAGAGGTCACACGGGGACGTGTCTGAAAGCTCCTCTCTGCATGTCATTGGCCTGCCATGGTGGGGCCCCGGGCAGGAACAGAGGACACGTTTCCTTGCCAGCATCCCCAACAAAGACTGCCTGGGCAGGAAGGACCCTCAGGCCACGGCACTCACTCCAGAGGTTGTAGCTACAAGCAGTGGCCACACTTGTAGTTTATGTGTTTACTGACTGGGAACCAGGGGCTCAGAGAGGTGAGGTAACTTGCCCAAAGTCACACAGAAGAGGGGTGGCAGAGCCAGCCTGGAATATAGGCCCTGTGTATGACTTCTCAGGCCTCCTCTAGCTTTGGCCCAGAGGAGCCTGGGAGGAGGAGAGGCTGTGTGGGCCAAGAGCACCTGGGCCGTTTAGGGCCCCGGAGCTCTGGTCTGTTGCAGGCGAAGTTTGGGGATTCCTGCCTCCCTCCCACACCCTCTGTCTACCAGGTACTCGGCACCCTAGCAGCCCTGGGCACCCTGCCTCTTGGGTACAAACCCTCCCTGCCTTCCCTGTCCTAACCTAACCCTACCAAACAGCCCCTCCCTGTACCCCGGGGCCAGAACGGCTGCCAGCCGTTTCTCAGTAATATTAATACGTCCCACCCATACTGCCCGGCCCCAGGCGCAGAGCCCCAGAGAAGTGAAACTTTGAATCAGAAGCTGGATTACTGAGTCCCAGAGGCAGATCTCTGTTTGAGTAAGAATCACAGTATTAGCCGTTTATTACAGTTACCACGTGTCAGGGTGATTTACACGCATTTCCTGATTTAATCTTTACAATAACCCCAGGAAGAAGGGAGACTGAGCGCAGAACGCCCCCACGCGCCCATCCTGCTGGGGACAAGCCTAGAGGCTTTGCCTAAGCAGATACTCACTCCAAGGACTGCAGAGCGCCCAGCCCTGGGAGCAGCTGAGCCAACAGGGCCGCACCTTCGTCCCCTAGAGCGTTGCCTGAGAAGCTGGGGACAGGGAAGGGGCAGAAAACGTTAGTGGAGGTGG